TTAATATTCCAAGTCTTCCGAGGCAAAACGATTGATTTGTGAGAGGAATAGACACGATCGCTGTCTCCGTCCACTGTAAAGCTCAGATACTGTGTGCAGTCTGTGCGCGAATTCAAAAAATGCTGCCAGAAGAAGCCTTAAGTCAGCCTTGGTTGTGAAATGTCATTGGCTCTTGTGTGTCTTATGACCGATTGCGTCATACGGGAGTATCTTTTTGAATGAGATGTGAGTGTGTTAACGGTGCGTGAATCATTTTTAGTTATTAAAACCTTATGTTTTACTCACTTCTTCACAAAGATATCGTAGACTTGGAAGGCAACATGACTTGTTTGTAATGGTTTTATACTGCTTTTTTATGGTCAGTTTTTGCAATAAATACCTGTGACTGTACTTTTATTTGCCTGCTACGTGTTTTATATTGTTCAGAAGTGGGTAGGTTTAGGATAGGGGTGGGGTTAGGTACTCCAATAAAAGTAAAAATGTATATGACATTATTTCCATTTTTACAAATGCATGCAAACCATTAAATTAAGACAAACAACTGAAAACAATGGAGGACCCAGCAATTCGAAAAGTGACGCTAAAAGGGTACCTTGAGCGTCAAAAAGCAAAGCCAAGGGGTCCTGACCAAGCGTCAATATGTGACAAGTTGGGAGTGAGAACGTGTTGCAAAATGCACTTAAACGTTTATTGTTTATAATATTTACATGAAATGCTTAGCTGGAAAAATATGCTAATTTTATGTACTTTCTTTGTTATTCTCATCTGATGTGTTCAGATCCAGTTCCAACAGGCGTGTCTTTATAGTTTGAGTGTTTTGGTTTCTAAATGTCTCTTAAAGTTTAATGGTTTCATTCTCTCTGCATCCAGTATTTCACTGCACAAAACACATTGCAGTTGGCACAAAACATTTTATCCTAGCTGAAAGTGAACCCGTATTTAATGTAGTGTGGAGCGTCAATATGTGACAAGTTGGGAGTGAGAACTTTACAGAGAAAATAACACATTTACACTCTCTTACACAAGCACATCTATAGGAAATTTGTGCCTCAAAGTCATTTAGTGTCTTTGGCTTTCGGGGAAAACCAGAGTAAACCTGGAGCAAACCCATGCCAAAACAGAAAGGCCTCCAGAGTCAGTCTCAGTCAGGGACCTTTTTCCATTTCCATTTCCATTTAGTCATTTAGCAGATGCTAAATCTTATCCAAAGCGACTTACAAATGAGGACAATAGAAGCAATCAAAACTAACAAAAGAGCAATAAAATGCAAGTGCTATGACAAGTCTCGGCAAGTTTTTTTTTTCTTCCTGTGAGGTGACAGTGCTACCCACTGAGCTAATTAATATAATTAATATTGAGCAAGGAATATTACCAATGTCGACAGGACTAGAGTGACCAGAGACTTTCTTCTCACCTTTTACAGAGTTTGCTCTGTTTCCCTCAATTTATAATGCTGGGGAACAGCTATATGGTTGTGGTAAAATGATACTCTATCTACCCTATTGAGTTGCAGGGCAATGCATTAGTTTCTGGGCCATGCATTACCATTCCCTGTATGTTGTTGACCTCTGTTCTGTGGGATTCTTCTCACTGTGGTCTCTCCAAAGGACTCTCTGCTTATGGCAAAGGAAATTCAATTACTTGGAATAAGATGTAATACAGAAAATTCCCTCTTCTTAGAATGGGTATTATGACAGTTATTTTCTTGTACCCAAAACAGACATCAGACTGCACTCTTTTGGGTCTGAGATGGAATTTCACACTTTTGAAATACCATTTCAGAATGCTTACGCTAAAAACAAACTTTTTAGCGAATTTAACCAGAGGACTGGTTTATAATTCACATATTTATATTCAGATTGTGTAGAGACATATGCAAAATTTGCCTTCAGGAAGCGGCATATAATTTTAGAGCCCTTGTAGTCCAGATTTCTTTACCATGCGTTTTTACAAAATGTACAGATGCACCCTCTGAGGCTCCAGTGCATCCAGAGCATTCTGAAATATCTTGACAATTAGTTGGTTATAGCACACTTAGCAGCTGACAATGCATATTTTCTAGGACTGGAGTGAAACCTGTTTAAGCTGACATGTCTGTCTCCACCTCATGTTCAATGTTCTGTTTGTGGCCTTGTTTAAAAACAGCACAATCTCCCTGTGCAGGCTTTTCACTGATTGCTGGGGCTCTTCAAAACCTTACCTCACACCTTCTTCAAGCAATTTCTCCTACAGTTTAACTAGCACTTACACACATCAATACATCTCTTTTCTCCGGTGTTTTCCCCAAAAGCAGGCTCCGGTATCCCCACTGCTTAAAAAAACACACACTAAACACTTCACATGTAGATAGTTACAGACCTGTCTCTCTCCTTCCATTTATAGCAAAAGCACTTGTATTAATTTTTTTCAACCAGGAATCATTTTTCCTTTCACAGAATAACCAGCTGGACGTTAACCAATCAGGTTTCAAAAGTGTCCATTCAACCGAGACTGCATTACTATCGGTCACTGAAGCCCTGTGGATTACAAAAGCTGATTCCAAATCTCAGTTTTCATTCTGCTGGTTCTATCTGCTACCTTTCACACAGTGACTCATAAGATCCCTCTGTCCAGCCTCTCATCAGTGGGTATCACAGGAGCGCGTGACACCTCATGGTACCATCATAGTGAGGCACAAAAATACACAGAATATGCAAAAATGCAGAATCCGTGACAATATTCGAGACAGAGCTGAAAACTCTTCTCTATCGTTAACACTTAACTGCTTCCTACTGAATATATATACCTTTTTGGCAGGAAAGATGACGCAAATGTTTGCTTATAAGATGCTCAATATGTGATGATTCTATACACACTTCAGACAATCTCCAACTTGGTAGAGGTTACCATAGTGTTAGCTATATATGTAGCATCACATTCCCTCCTCAGGGAACCAGTGCTATATAGCTAACCAAGATGTTTTGAAAAACAGATCAACAAACAATACAGGTCTATATACATGATGGTGACAAATACACTGCCTGTCCATAAAAAAAGGTGCACACTTTAATATATTATTTGGACTGCCTTAAGCTTTGATTATATGGTTGTTTGAGAAATAAAAAGCTACTGCATGCACTGCATCAGTTAGGGTTAAAATAATTGTTCCCAAACAGCATGCCAGAAACATTAATCACTGCAAAAAAAATTAGTCAATCCTAAAATCAGTATTTTCTAAAAAAAAAAAAAAAAAAAAAAAAAAAAATTATTTAAATCCAAACAGCTTTCTTCCTTTTTTTTGGGCCAGACAGTGTATATTCAGTATATATATAACCACAGTGTGAGCAAAATTTAAATGCAGAGTGTGTAACCATGTGGATCAATATACCTCTTTAGGTGACAATACAGAAACGTAGTCCTCATATATTTGTTTCACAGTCTGTTCTACCATGGTTTTGTTGGTCTCTTTATTTAGATCCTCACAGGCGAGCCAGAACATCAGGTTTTCTTCACTAAACTCAGTCTTAAGAAACTGTCGGAAGTGCACACGACCTTGTGCACTTTTTATTAACCGCTCAAATGACTCTCCCCATGTGTGTACCTCTTCCAGGGTGAGCTGAGGCCTATAAAAGAAGTGGTGTCAGAAAATAAAGTTCAAAGTTCAAATTTATTTCTAAAGCACTGAATGAAACTACAATGTTGACCATAGTGCTGTACGAACAATAGAGCAATTAGGAGAGGAAAACATTTTAAATAATAACCATATATCTAATTTAGGGAATATAAAAAGAGAAACTTTAAAAGAACAGTTGAAATATACCTTAATTAAAGACAAAAGCGACACATATGGCACTAGCAAACTTCAGTTATCTTTTGATCGAGCGCTATCATAAAAAATGTTTTCAGATGGCTTTTAAACTTACTGAGCGTCAGTACGTCCCTAATACAGGTGCATCTCAAATTAGAATGTCGTGGAAAAGTTAATTTATTTCAGTAATTCAACTCAAATTGTGAAACTCGTGTATTAAATAAATTCAATGCACACAGACTGAGGTAGTTTAAGTCTTTGGTTCTTTTAATTGTGATGATTTTGACTCACATTTAACAAAAACCCACCAATTCACTATCTCAACAAATTGGCAGGCTGTTCCATAATTGTTCCTTAAACTGGAAAGAATTTAAAGATCCATCTTTGATTGTCAAAAGAATTGCAGGTTCAGTTCACTCAGCCAATTAGATTTCACTAGCATTTTCATCAGTCAGTTGTGGAGGTCTGATTGGTTAAAGCTTTATTTATATATCACCTTTTAAAACAGTGTGTACAAAGTAGCCTACTTTACAAAGAGATGCATATATGCATTCGCAGAAAAGATCAAAATACAAACATACAAGAGACATATAGTAAAACAAAGTAGCTAATAACCAGTTTATGTTAAAACAAAAACACAGCAAAAATACAAACGTATTGTCCGCACACTGACGTTAACAATACGTTTGTATTTTTGCTATAGTTTGACTTTTCTTGTCCTGCACCTGAGCCCTGTGTGGGTTTGTGGGATGTGCACAACTTTTTTACACTTTGGTTTTTTAAAACAAAAATACAACAATAAAAAATCAAGGAAAGGCCCTGCACAAATATGTTTTGAGACTACTTTTTAAAAGCACTTTTTAAAACTTTTGATAACGTTAAATTCAGGTGCGAAAAGAATTAATATCTATAGCGCATGAGCACAGAGAGGTTTGACACAGGACACAGTTTGAGTGAGAAGAGAGAGACACGTTTTAAGTGCGCGCACTCTCTCCGGGCGAGAGCTTAAACAGCGCGAGTAGTGTTTCTGTCAGCGGCACATGCAGCCTTTCTGTCCAAGCATCTGACGGGCCGAGCCGCTTAAACTAATATGCGAAACGAAACTATAAACTATGTCTTACCAGTTTTTAAAGGCCTTAATATGAAGCTTGTCACATGTTTAGAACAAATTGGATTATGGAGAAACCTGATCAAAGTGCTCTAGTTATTGGCGATTCTATTGTACGGAACGTGAAAATAGAGACACCAGCCACTATAGTCCAATGTTTACCGGGAGCCAGAGTGCCTGACATCTTGGCAAATTTAAAAGTGCTGGCTAATGCTAAACGTAAATACAGTAAGATTGTTATTCACGCCGGCGCTAATGATGTTCGACTTCGCCAGTCGGAGATCACTAAAAATAACATTAAAGAGGTGTGTGAACTTGCAAGTACGATGTCAGACACTGTAATATGCTCTGGTCCCCTCCCTGCTTACCGTGGTGACGAGATACATAGCAGACTGTCGTCACTCAATGGCTGGATGTCTAAGTGGTGCCCGCAGAATAACATAGGTTTCATAGATAATTGGATGAGTTTTTGGGGCAGACCTGACCTGTTGAAAAGAGATGGTCTTCATCCCTCCAGGGGTGGTGCCACTCTTCTCTCTAGAAACATGACATATAGGCTTAGAGTTTGCAATTGACTAACTGGGGCCCAGGTCAGGAAGCAGACAGACTGGCTAAACTGACCGTCTGCTAGCCGCCTCACATCACAGAAATCAGTTAATTCTCAGCACATAGAGACTCTTTCACCTAGATATCACACTATAGCTGTTATGTATCTTTGTAAGTCATTGTAAGCCCCCGCGCAAGCGCACGACCCCCCCATTATAAAAAAAAAAACATGTGGGCTCCCCCAAAGTCCACGGTATAGTTCGAACACTGCCAGACGGGCAACCAGAGCGGAGCCGGAATCCTGTCAGGCAACACTAGTGGGACAGAAAACCCTCTCAGCAACTCAGGGAAAACTGAAAACAAGAGCAGAGAGAGTTTAGTACCAGCCTCAACAGCTGCAACAGGACCGACAGATTGCTCCGCAATAGTCTCCTTGGCCATGTGTGAGCTCCCAGACTGGAGCGGGCTCTGGAGTGGGCTCTGTGAGCTCCCAGACTGGAGCGGGCTCTGGAGTGGACCCTGTGAGCTCCCGGACTGGAGTGACTTCCTTAATGAGCTCTGTGAGCTCCCGGACAGGAGCGGGCTCTGGAATGGGCTCTGTGAGCTCCCGGACTGGAGTGTGAGCTCCCGGACTGGAGCGGGCTTTGGAGTGGGCTCTGTGAGCTCCCGGACTGGAGTGGGCTCTGTGAGCTCCCGGACTG